GTAATTATTTCCGCTCTTTTCATTAGTAAAATGTGAGGAGCGGACAGAGAGGAGAAGGCCGAGAAAAAACTTTACAATAAGATTTTTATTGGAGGAGGAATAATAGTGACCATTTTTTTTCTGGCCACTTTGTTTTGCTTGGTGCGGTGGTTAAAGTCCCGGGCTGAATGGCAAGAATTAAGGGACAAAGATAGTGAATAAATTTTAAGAAGAGTGTTTTAGTTTTCGTCTTTCCTTCGAGCCGCTTAATTTAATTCGCTCGTAGTGTGGCGTGGGAAGAATTCTTAATTATTTTTCAGTTGACCCCCAAATTAATAACAAGGTTATTTTTGGGACTAAGAAATAATTGTTTGTAGATCTCAGCCAGAAGTTTTTTTTTGCGGTGAAGTAGTAATCCACCAGTAGCCTGGTTAATTCAATAGTAAAGCAAGCGGAGATATACTTCCCGGGGCAAATTGGTTTTAAGCAAGCGAAAAACCAAGCGGGAAGGACAAAAATATTTTTTTTGCTGCTTAACCAGCAATTTCATTTTTTCTAGTTCTTGGTTGTTTTCTCTAATTGCTTTTAGTAATTCACCTTGCTCGGTAATATTTAAATTGGTGATTTGCCGACGAAAAATATTGCGTTGATAAAGCGGTAGTTGGTTAGTGCTATCAACCGCATAACTAATTTTTTGCTCGTGGAGATACTGAATTATTTGCTCTTTGGCAAGCGATAAAAGAGGGCGGAAAATACGAAATTGTCCTTGTTGTGTAATAACTGGCAAACCCCAATAGTCTACTAAACTCTGGCGGTTTTTTTGCCACCAGTAAGTTTCTAAGTGGTCTTGTTGGTGGTGAGCTACAGCTAAAAACCGCGTTTGATATTTTGTGGCGATTTTTCGACAAAAATCATAACGGATTTGGCGGGCTCAGGCTTGAAAGTTAGTGCAAGGAGGACACTCACCCTCTTTCACTGAGTATACTTTGAGAGGTAGAGAATTTTTTTGGCAATAAACTCGAACCAAACTCTCGTCGTAGTCGCTGTCAATTCTCCGGTGGTAATTGACATGAGCCACGATTATTTGGTAATTCCCGACCCGCAGGTTATCCAGAAGGAACATGCTGTCAGGTCCGCCCGAAACGGCTACTACATAAATTTTGTTTCTGGGAAGAATATCTTTTAATAAGTTTACATAAGGCATTAGTAAGTAGGCAATAGAGGGAACAAAAAGAATTCTTGGTGTTTATTTTCTTTTACCACCAAAACTCTTAGCAAACAGGAGATTTCAAACAATTAATTTACTTAATTATTTTGCGGTGAGATTTGAATTTGGGCCTGATAAGAATTCTCAGAAACTTTTTGATAAATCTCTTGGATTTTTTGCTCTTGACAGCCCAGAGCGAGTAACTGAGTTTCTAATTCGCAAACCTCTTTTTGCTTTTGCGTAATTATTTGTCTTTCTCTCTCATTTAACTTTTCAGCGAGAATTTTAGTGAGAATTGTTAATTGACCTTGATAAAATAAATCATCTTCTTTTTTCTGTT